AAATTATACTTGAGAGACTAACACAGGTGAATCAAATAATAAAAATGCCATGTACATCACTACAGATTATGCGAGACGGTCAAAAGTAATGCTTCCGTTTCATTCTGAGTTACAATCATATTACATGCTGACAGCGTAGAACCATAGTTAATATTAACTATGGTACAACTTACTGCGTTTCGACTAAATCAATAAGCCCCCCCTCTCAATCAAGCCCCCTCTCTCCAATAAGCCCTCCCTCAAACGGGCCTGAAATAAATAAGCACCCCGGGGGGCTAAATAGAGGATTTACTGTACATATACATATAGCTCTCTTAAATTTGTACTCAACATATTGTTTTTTAAAATTCTAATTTAAATGATTAATTATTTGTAGTGTGGGAGGAAAAAGTGGAGCCATGCGAACATGCAGTGGATGTAAAGGAAGAGGTGTTAAGGTTACCATTCGACAGATTGGGCCAGGGATGGTCCAACAAATGCAGTCGTCTTGTAATGATTGTTATGGAGAGGGTAAGTTGCATCACTCTTTTGGAACCATGAATATGAATTATTGTGTGGGAAGAATAGGTTGTGTGTGCTATTTATTCACCATTTTCCAAACATCGGTTCACTGGTCAAACACAGAACATTCAGTCGAGGTTGCAAGGTTCAAATTTGCATAATCCTTTGAAAGTACCTTGGTGCCTCACTTGAGCACTTGACCAGTGAACCAATGTATGGACAATGGAGAATCTGACTTGTCTTCCTGTTTTGTCATTAATTATTCATAATTTGATAATATTAGAATTAAAATGGATTAAAATTCCTTTTGGTTAAAATTCCTTCTGGCTCAACGTTACTGGTCAAAATGACTGGCAAGGCCAACGGTTGACTGGATAAGTTTCAGTTCTAGCCTATCCATTGACCGACTGTTATAATAATTTTGATCTCTCATTTATTTATTCATTCACTCATTTATTTATCCATTTCTTCATGTCATCCATTTATTGATGATTATTCATAAAGTCTTTTCTTTTGTTTATTCATTGTGCAGCTTTACTTTAAACATTTATACAATTTTTTTTTATGCAGGTGAAGTTATCAATCCCAAAGACAGATGCAAAAAATGTGAAGGGAAAAAAGTTATCAAAGAGAAGAAAATACTCGAGGTAAAAAGTTGCATTTTATGTATCACTATTCACAATGTGTAGTTCCAAAAATTATCCATACCCCCCTCACTGAGGAATTTTTTAAGACACCCACCCCCCCTACCCCCAAAAAATTCCAATTTTCTTGCATACAAATTCTGTGGTAATTTTTGTTCTTTCTCTAATCCCCCCCCCACTCTTTGGAATTTCCAAATTACTCTGTGGGGTGGTATGGATAATTTCTGGAACTACACAATAATGTTTTCCAAGAAGTTGATTTTTGCAAAGGTATGGTAGGAAAACCAGAGAACTTTGAAAAAAACCCTCAAAGCAGAAGAGAGAACCAACAAATACCTCTACTAGCATACCACACTAAGTCCAGGAATTAAACTTGGTTGTGTTAATGAGAGCCAAGAACTCTTGCTTCTACAGTATTCCACCCTTGCTTCCTGTGGTTTTATCTATGTACAAAATGGAAGTTTTGACCATCACATGATGGTAGACATGACAGGAGGGCGGAACAGTTGAATCTGGTCTAATCTGATTTACACAAGAAAAAACACAATTCTCCAAGGAAAAACAACAAGTGTGTCTCCTGTCAGGGCAGCCATCATGTGATGGTGCAAAGCCTTCACACTTTGTGAAATTCCTGTCTCCCCATTCCCATTCTTTTTGATTTGCCTGCCATTTCTATTCAGTCTTTTGATGTTTGTTAATTTCATTGAAAACAGGTAAATGTCGAAAAAGGCATGAGTGACAACCAGAAAATCGCCTTCCGTGGTGAAGGAGACCAAGAGGTAAACAGTATTTTTTGATACTAATAGACCTTTACTGGTTATGGCGGCCATCTTGAATTATGGGATGACAAGGGGGCAAACAGAGAAAATTTATAAAGTATAGAGTGGCGGGGTTACGTTTTCAAATTATTTAAGTCTTGGTGTCTTGTATATTGTTCCAACTACCAGCAAATTCAATTCCTTTTTTGATGAGCTTCTCGTTGAAAAGCGTAAAGTTATACCAAAAGACAACATGACAGCTAAGCAGTCTATGATTTTCCAAATAGCTGCCCCCTGCTCAGCGTCCCATAATGTCTTGATTTAAACGATAAAATTCAAAATGGCTGCAGTATTGTTAAAGTGTAAGGGTCTATTAATAATTAATATTTAAGTGTGTCTATGTAGTATACTAAAAAGAGGCCAATCTGTATGGGCATTTAAAATGATGAGCCAATGTAAAGCCACACAAATTGGACTTGCTTATCCAATGTATAATAGCTTATGTTCTACTAAAATGTTTGAGATTGGAGTGAGTTTGACTGAGAAAATCAATGTTAAAATTGAATGCAAATGCGGATGATTCTGTATCTGATTTGTTTATTATTTTAACCAAAATTTATTGTTTATTCAACAATAATTATTCAGCAAAGGCAAAGTGAATATTGGGGACTATTTACCGAGATGAGAGTCTTTAGGAGGGAGAGTTTGTTTTTGTTTATTTCATTTATCTCTGAAAGTGGCACATATTGACAAGCGAGCGAGCATGGGAGTATGCACAATATTCACCTGTAGGTGAATATAACAGCATAAGAGGTAAATTGTGACCAAGAATGCGCTGGATTTATTATAATCACTTGTGTAAAAAAACTAATAATATATATATATTTTTTGTAGCCTAATGTAGAACCAGGAGATATCATTCTTATTTTACAACAAAAAGATCACGATGTGTTCACTAGACAAGGCATGGATCTATTCATGACCAAAGAGATTGGACTTGTTGAAGCCCTGTGTGGATTCCAGATGGTGATCAAACACTTGGATGGCAGAGATCTTGTCTTGCACTATCCAGCAGGAAATATTATTGAACCAGGTCAGAACATTACAAAATACACTAAAAGTGCCTATGACCCCTAACTCAATGTTTTCAGCATTGATTCTTCATAAAGTTAAAAGTTAAATAGTAAAATATTTTTATATGATTTGAGTGATGCATTTTGGAGATATCAAGGTTTACTTCCAGTATGCTAATGAGTGTGATGTCATAGTAGGCATTTGGGTTTATTTGTCATCATTTTAAAATCAAAGCACTGATTACTATGAGGAAACAAATTTGCAATAACCTTTCTATAAACCCTATATTATGTTTCATGCAGGATATTTTACTACCCCAGTAAATTTTCGTATATACTATGACATCACACTCATTAGCATACTGGAAGTATAAACCTTGAAATCTTCAAGATGCATCTCTCAAATCATATAAAAATATTTTACTATTTAACTTTTAACTTCATGAAAAGTCAATGCTGAAAACATTGAGTTAGGGGTCATAGGAACTTAAACAGCAGGTCTGAAACATCTACAGTATGCATCATAGCATTCTGTGTTTAGAATGAATAAGCGTTGGTCATATCAGATTTACAGCACCAGCCAGAGACAAGTAGCACGGTAGCTCTGTAACACAGTTGCATGGCAACACATGTAGCAAGGTACATTGCTACTGTGTTAAACAATAAAAAACTATAAAAAATTAGTATGATTTAGTGCTATTTAGGCTGTCAGCATGCTTTTAGTCTAGTGTTTGTACTCTATTCTAATAACTGGAAGTATACTGAAAGTATTGATTTATGCCTTATATCCACCTTAAGGGGGTGGTAAGAGTGTAGCTGGCTACATCGTCTACTGTAACTCATGTCTCATGGATTCTTTATGTTTTAGACTGCATAAGAGGTGTGGTTGGAGAAGGAATGCCTTTACAAAGAAATCCGTGCGAAAAAGGAAACCTTTATGTAAAATTCAAAGTCGAGTTTCCCGAAAATAACTTCATCGGCCCAGAAAATATTCCAGTAAGTACTCTGCACAGTCCTGTTATCTCGATCATCCTTAGAACCAGGATGGGGAAGGGTCGAATAAAAACCTTGATATATTCAAGATGCAGTCAATCACCGGGGGGGGATTGAGGGTGGTCATATGAATCTTTGACAAGTGGAGGGGGGATCTGTTACATTGAGAGGTGTCAAAGGGGCTCACTTGTGTGGGTTCTTGTGCATTTGTTGTTGGCTGTGCATTGATATAGACCCCTTGCACTGATTCCCTAAAGGAATTACTTTGTCCCCCAGAACAATTCGTCTCAGGACTTTAGTGCAAGGGGTATTAATGACTGCTCTAGTTGAGTGAGGGATACAGTAAAAAGCCGCGTACTGTATAAGAACCTAGATTTAAAGAATCTGTTAGGCTGAGATTTTCCATTACATACGAACTTGTTTTAGGCTAAAAAAAATTGCAAAGGCTCAGGTCAAAGTTTGAACCTCACATGAGCCGAACCTAATTGAAACAATGGATAACAAGGCAGTATTCCTTGATGTCATTAGGTTTGGCTCATGTGAGATTCGTTTGGCATGAGACTAAAATCACTCAAATTGTTTCTACATAAAATCTATTAGTCAATTTTTGATTTAGTTTTGCGCTCCTTTGTTCATTATCGTTGTATTCGTTTGCATAGAAACTCGAAGCCTTGCTTCCAGCAAGACCAAAACCACCTCAAGTCGGCAAAGATGCCGAAGAAGTTGACCTAGTAGAAGTGGATCCGTCATATGATAAAGAAAGACGGCATAGAGAAGCCTACGAGGAAGACAGTGACGACGAATCCGGCGGAGGACCTTCACATGTACAGTGTGCACACCAATAATTTATTGACGACTTAATCTTCTTCTTACAAGGAATTTGGTATCAATTGATGGTTTTCAACCATTCCCAAGAGAATTAAATAACAAAAGACACGGCGGCCATGTTGGAGGATATAACAAAGAATTCTTTAACAATTCTTTTAAGTTCCTCCAACATGGCCGCCGTGAAAACCATCAATTATAATATCAGAAGGACCTATGTTTTTCTTAGTTTAATGGTGTTTACATTTGAGCTGCCGAAATAAGATATAAAGTCTAGAGTGGTTATACTTGTAATGAAATATGTAATAGACTCAAATTGAAAACAAACAATGGATATAACATTTACTGTCATTAGTCTACAACAATGATTTTAGAACGAGTATAGAGGCTTTACACCATCATGTGCTCATGACCATAATAAAGCTTGGGCTGCCTGTGGTTAGATGTCCTTTAGCTCTTGGGAATTAAATAGGACGTTTGCATGATGGCGTCATTTGACTACCATAATGCTTCGCGAATTTTCTTTCTTATACAAGTTTGTATTCCCTCATGAGAATAGTAAGGCAATTGGTGCTAATTAACTGAACAAAAGAAAGTGTGCAAGGGAGTCTGGTAGTAGAGGTCAATGATGCCATCATGCAAACGTCCTATCCTTTCTCATGTAAAACGATTGTATTGTTCCTGGCATCTAACATGGTTTCCGTCTCACGTCATGATGCAAAACCTCAGAGTGATTTTACTTGACCCGTGAAAAGTTAGTCAGCATAGCACAGCAGTAGACACTAACTCCATTGTTTTCTTCTGTTTTACTTTGACTATTACTCGCCAATTATACAACTTTGTCTCACGGGCCAAGTAAAAGTACTCCAACTATTTCATGGGTTTAAGTAAAACCGCTTTAGTCATTGAGTAATAGTCAATTGAAAAGGAAAGCAGGTGTCTTGACATCTACTGTGAGTTAAATGGAGCAATTTAGTTTTGTAGTGATTTTAAGCATTTAACCGAATTAAACTATAGAATGATGTTCCTACGACCGTGAAATAGTTTTTGGGTAGCTAGTACATAATAATCAAATAGCCATGAGTGAAAAACGTATCCGCATGAAAGGCATGCATGCGCAAACGTTTTATCTATACTGTCAGTCAAATAGGCGCAAAGAAAAATAGAAATAAGATCTAGAGTGATTATTTGGCCTGTGAAACAGCCTTGTAATTACAGTGCAACTACACCAACCTAAGCCATCCAGACAAATTTCCATACAAATTAGTCAATCACGATGGTGTATTAAAACATGGTTAATCTAGTCACGCCGTAATTATAGTTACTAGCAGTCGAAGTAAAACAGAAGAAAACAATGGAATTAGTGACTACTACTATGTATTATGCTTGACTATTCTTTCACGGGCCAAGTAAAATCACTCAATACTCTACTAGTATACTAGCTATTTCGTCTGAAGAAAATCCCTTTAAATTAAGGAAAACAAATGTGTAATAGTCCACAGAAGAAAACAAAGGAATGAGGGCCTACCAATGCGTATAAGACTAATATCCTTTTCACTGGTTTAGTGACTTCACTCTAATTCACAAGTTAAATGAAATCACTCTTAATGTCTTGGTCTTTTGCGTAATGTTTTCCCATTTCAGACCACATGTCATTCCCTAAGTATTATTTCTTTGTTTTTACGGTCGACATGAGAAGATACATATGAATATGGCAAATCCACAGGCAGCCCAAGCAATGTATCTGCTGTCTTAAACTGAAAAAGTCGTTTCTGTACTTAAATAGTCTGGCTTTTCGGTTTAACGTACAGAACCCGTCCATACAAGTACACAATACATTAAATTTACGAGTTCATACTTTTGTGCGTTGCACTGTAATACACATCAAAATGCTCCAAAGTACTCCAGGTTTTCTGAATCGAAAATGGCCCTTTTTGACACTTCACGAAGAACAAAAAAGTAATCTTTAATAATGAAAATATAAAAATCATAAACAGACATCCTAAAAAATAAAACGCTGTACATACAAATCTCTGGCATCATCTGTATATTAGATGTTAATACAATCATACTTAATGGAGTGGAATGGTTTAGAAACTCCATAGAACAAAACTATTGTTTTGCTGTTTTGTTATGTTGAATCGTACCATCACGTGTTACTGACGGTGCACAATGAACCAAAGCAAGTATGGCTAGCTGAAAATGCTCATTTCCTTATTATTTTCATGTATGAACACTTTGAAAGTAAAATCTTTTATTCCATGACCAAAAACCATCCGAATAAATATTTCCGCGCAAATACAGTTAAGTTACTAGATTAAACAAGAAAACATTAAAAAGGGGCAATTTCATTTTCAATAAACAACTAATATTAATCATATAGGATTAATTAACAAATAATACACATTTTAGAACGATTTTTGAAGGGTAAAAAACTTTTATATTCTCTAATAACTGTGAACAAATGGAGAAACTATTCCTTCACTCTGAACTGTAAACGTCCGATAACAATGGATAAAGACGAACAAAAACATAGGTTTCCTAAACATTTCGCTTCATTAAGTTCACGAAGTTTATCCAGATGACTGATGTGAGTAAGTCTAAAAAGAAYTTCAACTCCTTTCAGGCTGGGTATAAAAACAGAAAAATCGTCTTTCGATACACAGCCGACAAACAGATTCGAATTATTCATCATGCAAATGAACTAAGGCACCACCATTTTGATCTTCACCAAAAGCCAGTTGAAACAAAGTGATGACCTCACTACAAAAGTGATAATTCTATGAAACGCAATGTATTCTGGGATAGGCTTCACTCTTCCTCTGGGTGTTTTCACATTCTATAGACCCCTTGAAGCACTAGGAATGCAGCTCAATTTGGAGGACCTACAGAACAATAGGTTTCCAATTCTCGTGAGATTAAAATTCTTTTATTTTGTCCTCCAGATCGAGCGGCTTTGACTTCACATGCAAGGGGTCTTTACTCGGTATTCTATTAAATAGTTATTTGAAAACAGGAACAGGATAGAAACACCTTATTAAACAAAAGCGGATGTCCACGATTGCATGCAAAGTATGAAAATGTCTTACGTAATTTTGTGTTACATTTAGTACCATTGACACGAAATACGAGATCGAACCCATGGGACATGACACATATTTTCTGTTAAAAGAGGCATAGTAGTGCAGTTTATAAGTCACTTGAATCTTCATTCGAGAAGTGCGCTTAGAGGATCAAACCGAACAGAGTTGATCAGCAACTGGATTTATCTGTCAGCAGGCAAAGATGGATCGTCTCATCTTGGTACTTTTAATGGTCTATGCCATGATATCTCCAGTAGTAATGCAGGTAGTGGCCGACACAGAAAAGGTAAAATATGAAATTGTTAAAGAATGATCTAAATTAGAATAACCCGAGTTCAGTCGAATTCGGCAAATAGCTTAAGATTTTTAAGCAAAAGCATTTGATTTTGTGAAAGCTAAAGTTGAGATTACATGTATATATCAGTAACATCAGAAACTGAATATTTTTTCAATTTTCACTTTTATAGCAAATTGGAGAAGCGAATGATATTCAGATGGCTGGTTGCATCAAGATTAATGGACAAGGTATGTTTCAAGTTATTCTTCATTATAAACAGTGTTTTATTTGCATGAATGGAAAACGTTCACTGACTTACCACACGTAACGGTACGACACTGATATATATCGCTTAACGTAGATTTGCTCGGATTTCAAGTGTTACGAGTGGAAAAAGTATAGTATTGACTTAACCACAACACGCACAAGGAACGCCAAAAGATAACTCTCCAATGACTTCATTTTCTTCATGCGAACTATATCCTGTCGCAACGCTTTGCTACTACGTTAATTGATGGTTTTCAATCATTCCCAAGAGAATGTAATTACTAAAGACACGGCGGCCATGTTGGAGGATAAAACAAAAGAGACTAACGAAGAATCTTTTGTTAAAGTCCTCCAACATGGCGGCCCTGAAAACCATCAAATGTAGCAAGGAATGGCTACGAGATTGTTGTGGCGTCGGACGAAAACCACTCTATCTTTTAAAAATACGTACTTTAGACGGAAAAGTAAAGAATAGTAACAAGACAATAGACTTCTTTAGCTTAGGCTTCACTGCCTTGCTTTTAATTTCATACCATGTGCTATGACACATATGCATGAGTATGGATACTGACAACTAGATTAAAAAAACTTTATGCTAAATGGGAAAATATTGATGCCCAAGGTAAAGGAGTTTATATTCATCATAATTCCTCTTTATTTTTAGGCGGAGAAGGAAAGAGCGAGAAAAGCCAAGAAAAACCAGAACAGGTATGTATAGTAACGACTTGTACTCAACTGAATACTCATGGATAGAGTGATTTTATTTGGCCTGTCAAACAAAGGTGTATTATTAGTATAACACTAAGTACGAAAAAAGAAAACTGTGGAATTAGTGTCTTCTACTACATGTATTATGTCGCTATTTCGATAAACGTCGTCATCGCCAAAGGCGATAGGCAATAGACGAAAAGCAATATATATAGGCCATTCCAAGATCCAAGAATAGCTCGAATGACTTGCGCTTCTGCTTCTTTTTTTTCGTCAAGTACCTTGAAACTGATCCAATGTTCTTTGTATTTAACGAAACCATTCTCACATCGGAATGACCTACGGCCTTTGACGATGACAACGTTTATTGAAATAGGTGTAAATTAAATTTTTTCGGTCTGGAAAGAAGTTTTTCATTAGTGAAAATCAACGAAACAGAAATTATATTGTATGATTCAAACCAATAAGATATATCTTTTTATTCCGGATTGTTTGCAAATAACTCCATCTCATTCCAAGAACCCTTATTTCTCACTGCACATATCGATGAAATAACTCATTTTTTCTTTGATCATGCGCAGTGAGAAAGAAGGGTTCTGGGAACAAGGTTGCAGATAACGGTTTGAGCATGCGTAGTAAGCAGATCTCGCGATCGTTTTTTTAGTAAACACAGATATATTTAACCTACTAGTCTTTTTAAACATATAAATTGTAAATAATTTAGCAATTTGATCTTTAAAATTCAAGACGTTTGAAAATGTTCACTAAGAACTTCACCGTTTACTACATACATAATCTTTGGAGTAAATTAAAATGAATGAATGAATGCTATTTGTAGGTCATTTAAAGTTGCAATTGTGCTYGTGATTTCAGAATTCGAAAATTCCTACGCCTCGTTCGTGTCTCGATCACTTGAAAAATGGAGAAACCAGAGCCAAGGTTTACACCATCATGACACCAAAAGGACCACAAGAAGTGTTCTGTGATCTGAGATCTGAACCTGGTTCTGCCTGGACACTAGTGCTGTCCCATCGAATGGAATACAGAAATAAAGATACCATCGCTCCCTTCAAGAAACCCTTGACAATGAACATCCCAGTCAACGAAAAGTCCCCCAACTACAACATGTACCGTATGACGCGTGACCAGATGACGAACATCAAGTCCCAGTCCACTCATTGGCGCGTCACCTGCAATGGAGCTTTTGTAGACTACCGTGACTACCTTCGCGTTCGATTTGCTGACCTAGACCCCCTGACCTTCAATGGTGCAGGTGTCTGTAAGAAAGTCGAGTATATCAACGTTCGTGGTCACGTTGGTATTGAGGTGACCGTACCATTCTGGCAGATGGCCAATAGATATATCCTTCATCATGACAGCAGTGCAAGAAAGTGCTCGTTTGGGGCATCTGCAGGTTACGTGTCCAGTGAAGACAACTTTGGTTTTTACGGGAAAATCAACCGAAAATTCAGGTGCTCATCGAGTGATTATACGACTTCCAACATGTGGTTCGGTGCTTCTTTGTAAACGTTTCTCCATCGTTAATGTATGTTAACGGAAAATTAGGAAATAAATTAAGATAAATTATTGCAATGATTGTTGATTCATTTAACGTGTCGTACAACCTATAGCAAACAGGTTTCCAGTGAATGTAGGAGGGGTATTTAGTATGGGAGACATTTCCTGATATTTTTCAAGATGCACCTAATAAAAAAAATCAAGACAAATGCCGTATTTTTTTCTAAGCGTACTAGTCAATAGTCCCCTTGGAGAACGTCGGAATGCAGCTAAATTTAGAAGACATAGCAATAGGTTTGCAATTCTCATTAGATTGAAATTATTTTGTTGTCCTCCAAAAATTAGCTGCTTTGACGTCACATGCAAGTGGGCTATAATTGTGTATTGTACGAGCGACATCCTATTATAAAATCAGTGCAGGGTAAGGTAACCCGACATGGACAGGTGTTTCGTCCCATTAAAGGATTAACACCATCACGTGATGGCAGCGAAAACTAGAGCAGGAAACATTGATTCTGGTCTAAACTGATTTACACAAAAATGAATTCATTTTCCCAGAGGAAAAAGACTATGGTTGTGCCTCCTGCCTAGGGTTACTTCACGTCATGGTAAAACTGAAAAAGCGTCCCTTTTCTCATGCGGAAAATACAGCTATGTTTCTTGATTAAGGCCCTATATGTCATTTAGGATCGAGTAGAATAGTCTCCTTGATTACAAGCTCATCTGTAGCGGTTTATCCTTGTTTCAATAGCAAATCATTCGCAAAAGTCAACTGCAATAAATAAAAGCTTGGTCAGCGGGGGAGCGAAGGACAGCTGTTTTCTCAGTCGACTATAAACTACTATATATAATATTTATATATATATATATATGCATTGTATTCGTCTAGAACATGAACTTGATATCCTTGTTCCCTGAAAGTCAATACTCATGCTCACTTGTTCTCTCAAACTCCCTGCAGGGGTCTCATAATTACGTGTCTTCTCATGCGCAACAAGGGATGCGTTAAACAAAGAAATCATACGCTAGGGAATGACACGTGGTCTGAAATGGAAAACAGTGGATAAATATTATAGTGCGCAACGCGCAAACGTATGACCACATTTTTAATGCATTCGCATACCTCTATGAACGGGCTTTTTCGTGCCAAACCAGCTTTTGCACGTCTTATTTGGTAAAACAAGCCTGCTTCGCATCCAAATGTGTCGCTTTATCGTACAGAACGCGTCCATACCAGTACACAATACATTAAATTTACGACTTCATAATTTTGTACGTTGCACTGTAATACACATCAAAATGCTCCCACAGGTTTTCTAAATCGAAAAAAGCCCTTTTTGGCATTTCACGAACAACTGAAAAAGTCAGCTTTAATAATGAAAATATAAAAAAATCATAAACAGACATTATACTAAAAAATGAAACGATGTACATTTTGTACAGACGACAAAAGAAGCGCCAAGCTGCCGGGCTACGTACACTCTCTGAGCACACTTTGTTGAAGAACAAGTCCATCGAACATTGTCACTTGTCAACTCCTTCCAGGCTGTGTATAAAAACAGAAAAATCGTCTTTCTAGGCTAAAATCCTAAAACAGGTTCTTATTTTTAAAAAGGAAAAAAAAAAATAGAATCAATTTTTTCAAAAATATATTTTTAACACAGTCTGTACACAATAATGCTATAAACACTATAACTGTACATGGTTATTATAACAGAATCAGATTAAAATCGTATACTGTAGTACATTTGATTACCTAAGCCTCCAAGAATACTGTAATTGGACATTAAAGACCAGACTGCAGTATTCAAAAATACTACTTTATTTCTTGAACAAAAGTTAAGAACCTAATTAAGAACCTAGTTAGCCTAATTTATCACTAAATACCATTTATATAAGAACCTGTTTAGGCTAACTTGAAAAAACCTAGGTTCTTATACGTGGGTTTTTACTGTATTCGTCATGCAACAGAACCACCATTTTGATCTTCCCCAAAAGCCAGTTGAAACAAAGTGATGACCTCACTACAAAAGTGATAATTCTATGAAACGCAATGTATTCTGGGATAGGCTTCACTCTTCCTCTGNACAAAAGTGATAATTCTATGAAACGCAATGTATTCTGGGATAGGCTTCACTCTTCCTCTGGGTGTTTTCACATTCTATAGACCCCTTGAAGCACTCGGAGTGAAGCTTGATTTGGAGGGTCTATATAACAATAGGTTTCCAATTCTCGTGAGATTGAAAATCTTTTATTTTGTCCTCCAGATCGAGCGGCTTTGACTTCACATGCAAGGGGTCTTTACTCGGTATTCTATTAAATGGTTATTAAAAACAGGAACAGGATAGAAACACCTTATTAAACAAAAGCGGATGTCCACGATTGCATGCAAAGTATGAAAAAGTCTTACGTAATTTTGTGTTACATTTAGTACCATTGACACGAAATACGAGATCGAACCCATGGGACATGACACATTTTTTCTATTAAAAGAGGCTCAGTAGTGCAGTTYATAAGTCACTTGAATCTTCATTCGAGGAGTGCGCTTAGAGGAAACCGAACAGAGTTGATCAGCAACTGGATTTATCCGTCAGCAGGCAAAGATGGATCGTCTCATCTTGGTACTTTTAATGGTCCATGCCATGATATCTCCAGTAGTGATGCAGGTAGTGGCCGACACAGAAAAGGTAAAATATGAAATTGTTAAAGAATAAATTAAATTGAAATTAACCGGTGATTCGAAGGCTATCAGAGCTATACTGCTCTTATTAACATAGAAGTTGAGTTCAGTCCAGGGCGTAATATATATCAGATATTGCGTAACTGAAATAATTTCTCAGTTTTCATTTTTACAGCAAATTGAAGAAGCGAATGATATTCAGGTGGCTGGTTACATCAAGATTAATGGACAAGGTATGTTTCAAGTTATTCTTCAGAAAATAGAGGTTTTTCGTATGAGTGGAAAACGTACAGTACTGACTTACAGCACGTAAACGGTACGACATACCGGTTACCATAGACTGGCAAGTTATGTTATATTACGAGTGGGAAACGTACACTACTGACTTACTTTACTTACAAGGTACGACATACCGTAGACTGCGTGCTATATGTTGCGAGTGGGAACTATAGTATAGTGTTACCGTCGTCGGTAACTTACAAAACGTACAAGGAACGTCATAAAGTAAGACTTAAAAGGCTTTAAATTTTCTTCATGCGAACTTTCTATACTGTCACAACACTTTGACACTACGTTTATGGTAGCAAGTAATGGCTACGAAATTGTCGTCTCGTCCGACGAAAAACACTCTATCTTTTTAAAAACACTTACCTTAGACGGAAAAGTAAAGAGTGATAAGCCTGTGAAAAGTAAAAGAACTGGCTTGTAAGAAGTTCATTAGAACACAGTAGACCTCTATAGCTTCACTGCTCTCTAGTTTCTTACCATGTGATATGACACATATGTATGAGTATCAAACAATTCGATGAAAAAAACTTTATTATCAAGAGAATGACATATGGTTTTAAATAGGAAAATATTTATGCCCATCGTAAAGGAATTTATTTTCATTATAATTTCTCTTTATTTTTTGGAGGAGAAGGAAAGAGCGAGAAAAGCCAAGAAAAACCAGAACAGGTATGTAGAGTAACGACTTGTACTCAACTGAATACTCATGGATAGAGTGATTTTATTTGGCCTGTCAAACAAAGGTGTATTATTAGTAACATTTAACATTAGTATTATTACAACTAACACTAAGTAAGACAAAAGAAAACTGTAGAATTAGTGTCTTCTACTATATGTACTTATGTCGCTATTTCGATAAACTTCGTCACACCCGCGATATTATATTGTATAATTCAACCCAGTAAGATATATCTTTTATTCCCGATTGATTGCAACTATAACTCCATCTCATTTCCAGAGCCCTTATTCCTCACTGAAATAACCAATTCTTTCATCAATCATGCACAGTGATAAAGAAGGGATCTGGGAACGAGGTTGTAGATAACGGTTTGATCATGCGTAGTGAGGAAATCTCGCGATCGTTTTTTCGTAAATACAGATATATATTTAACCTACTAGTCTTTGTAAATAGACAAATTCAAAATGCTTTATCAATTTGTACGAGAAGATCGTGCGATTTTTTGTTTATAGTTCACTCAACAAAATTTCAGCAAAAAATGCGAAGCGACGCCGTTCATCTTTGTCTATTTGGCGGCCGATTTTCAGTCCA